TGTTGAAATGTCATGAGATGTCAGTTGATTTCTATTCACCATGGTGGATCGCGTTGCAACCCACAACGCTGAAATGCATGCAGTACTTTTTTTTCAGTGCACCCACTTAGCAGCGCAGCTGTATGAACTGACTCTGCAGAAAGCAAGGCATTTTACGTTGTCTTATGGTCTTTAGCCCTACCACATTTGGTGTGAAGTCCCTTGGATGCATGAAAACACATCGATGTTAATGCACCGTAAGGTACTGTAGAGTGATGAAGTGTCCTGGTGATGGGCAGTATGCCGCCAGGGTATTACATATTTTATGACAGTACTTGGAGTCATATGCAAACTGCTTCTACAAACATTTGTCAAAGAATGAGTTGCTCTCAGGAGCTCAGTGAATTCAAGCGTGGTACCATGATATGTTGCCACCTTGCAATAAGTCCATCTGTGAAATTTCCTTGCTTCTAAATATTCCACTGTCAACTGTTAGTGGTATTATAACAATGTGGAAGCAACTGGGAACAACAGCAACTCAGCCACCAAGTGGTAGGTTGCGTAAAATGACAGAGCGGGGTCAGCGCATGGTGAAGCACACACTGCACAGAAGTCACCAACTGTCTGCAGAGTCAATAGCTAAAGACCTCCAAACTTCATGTGGCTTTCAGATTAGCACAACAATGCATAGAGAGCTTGATTGAATGGGTTTCCATGGCCGAGCAGCTGCATCCAAGCCATACCTCACCAAGTTCAATGCAAAGCGTCAGATGCAGTGGTGTAAAGCACGGAGCCACTGGACTCTAGAGCAGTGGAGACATGTTTTCTGGAGTGACAAATCACTATTCTCTGGCAATCCGATAGACGTGTCTGGGTTTGGCAGTTGTGTAGACAATGGTACATGCCTGACTGTATTGTGCCCAGTGTAAACCAATGCACAAAGCAAGGTCCATAAAGACATGGATGAGCAAATTTGGGGTGGAGGAACTTGATTGGCCTGCACAGAGTCCTGACTTCAACCTGATAGAACACCTTTGGGATGAATTAGAGTGCGGAGTTTGTGAGCCAGGCCTTCTCGTCCACCATCAGTGCCTGGCCTCACAAATGTGCTTCTGGAAGAATGCTCAAACATTCCCATAGACACCCTCCTAAACCATGTGGACAGCCTTCCCAGAAGAGTTGAAGCTGTTATAGCTGCAAAGGGTGGGCCAACTAAATATTGAACCCTACTGACTAAGACTGGGATGCCATTAAAGTTGTGCGTGTAAAGGCAGGCGTCCCAATACTTTTGGCAACAGAGTGTATATATGCACACACTTTTTTAGGTGTATTTTCTCTATTGATATATATATTTCATTTTTTTTTGAAGAGCACTTAAGACAGTGTTTGTCAAAAGATGTTTGCTTTCGCTTCTCTTGACTTGAAACTCCATAGCTCTATCAACAGAGCAGCAGGGAAACGAGTTGTTCCTTTATTTTTTTTTTTTTTTTTTTTTTTTTTTTAAAGTTTGGATGAATTATGGAGGAAGATCTGCATTGAAACCCTCAGTATTTCTTTCAGTACTCTCTTTAAAGTGGGTCTTTCCCCCCTTTTTTTTTTTTTCTTCTAAAATTCTTATCAAAATGCATCTCTGCTAAGGAAATCGGCTAAACCTGTGTTTTGTTTTTTTTTTTTTTAAGTGGAATCTTTGGATAAAAAACAAATTAATCTTAAAACTGCTCTCATCCCCCCCCCCCCAATAACAAGTATATAAAAACTACCTTGTGAAAGAACGATCTGTATGCTGAATTATTTTCAGGCTGCTCCTGTCCAGTCATGTGATCAGCACCCCTGTGTTACCTAGCAGTGTCTTCAGGGGATAAGAGGGAGCCCATATTAAGGGTGACATCACTGCTCAGGCATTCCAGCCATTGTCGTGCACTGTCTTCTCTCCCCTGTAGCCGCCACTGGCTGAAACGGGGATCATGTCACCAGATCAGCGTGACCTGAATATAGGTAAGCATACAGATCTTTCTTCCACTGGTTGCCCAGGCATCCTGGGGTACTTTCAGGTACAGTGGGGCAAAAAAGTATTTAGTCAGCCACCAATTGTGCAAGTTCTCCCACTTTAAAACTTGAGAGAGGCCTGTAATTGGCATCATAGGTAGACCTCAACTATGAGAGACAAAATGAGAAAAATCCAGACAATCACATTGGCTGGTTTGGAAAGAATTTATTTGCAAATTATGGTGGAAAATATTTGGTCACCTACAAACAAGCAAGATTTTGGGCTCTCACAGACCTGTACCTTCTTCTTTAAGAGGCTCCTCTGTCCTGCACTTATTACCTGTATCAATGGCACCTATTTGAACTTATCAGTATAAAAGACACCTGTCCACAACTTCAAACAGTCACACTCCAAACTCCGCTATGGTGAAGACCAAAGAGCTGTCAAAGGACACCAGAAACAAAATTGTAGACCTGCACCAGGCTGGGAAGACTGAATCTGCAATAGGCAAGCAGCTTGGTGTGAACAAATCAACTGTGGGAGCAATAATTAGAAAATGGAAGACATACAAGACCACTGATAATCTCCCTCGATCTGGGGCTCAACGCAAGATCTCACCCCGTGGGGTCAAAATGATTACAAGAACGGTGAGCAAAAATCCCAGGACCACACGGGGGACCTAGTGAATGACCTGCAGAGAGCTGGGACCAACATAACAAAGGCTACCATCAGTAACACACTACGCCGCCAGGGACTCAGATCCTGCAGTGCCAGACGTGTCCCCCTGCTTAAGCCAGTACATGTCCGGGCCCATCTGAAGTTTGCTAGAGAGCATTTGGATGATCCAGAAGAGGATTGGGAGAATGTCATATGGTCAGATGAAACCAAAATAGAACTGTTTGGTAGAAACACAACTTGTCGTGTTTGGAGGAGAGAGAATGCTGAGTTGCATCCAAAGAACACCATACTTACTGTGAAGCATGGGGGTGGCAACATCATGCTTTGGGGCTGTTTCTCCGCAAAGGGACCAGGACGACTGATCCATGTACAGGACAGAATGAATGGGGCCATGTATCGTGCGATTTTGAGTGCAAACCTCCTTCCATCAGCAAGGGCATTGAAGATGAAACGTGGCTGGGTCTTCCAACATGACAATGATCCCAAACATACTGCCCAGGCAACAAAGGAGTGGCTTCGTAAGAAGCATTTCAATGTCCTGGAGTGGCCTAGCTAGTCTACAGATCTCAACCCCATAGAAAACCTTTTGGAGGGAGTTGAAAGTCCGTGTTGCTCAGCGACAGCCCCAAAACATCACTGCTCTAGAGGAGATCTGCATGGAGGAATGGGCCAACCTACCAGCAACAGTGTGTGCCAACCTTGTGAAGACTTACAGGAAACGTTTGACCTCTGTCATTGCCAACAAAGGATATATAACAGTATTGAGATTAACTTTTGATATTGACCAAATACTTATTTTCCACCATAATTTGCAAATAAATTCTTTCCAAATCAGCCAATGGGATTGTCTGGATTTTTTTTTCTCATTTTGTCTCTCATATTTGAGGTCTACCTATGATGCCAATTACAGGCCTCTCTCATCTTTTTAAGTGGGAGAACTTGCACAATTGGTGGCTGACTAAATACTTTTTTGCCCCACTGTATCTTCAGGAGTGCCTTGGAAAATGCCTAAAAATTGCCCAAAAATGCCAAAAAATTGTGTACAAGCCTGCTTTTTAGTTACACAAAGCCATGGGTTTTCATTTTGCACCATTAAAACTTTCTACCCACCAACAACATAAATACCAATGATGTTATCAGTTGAAAAGAAGGACATCAGGCCTGCACAGCATCCTTGCTTTTGCCTCACATTAGCTGAGTGAGGGAGAGAAATAGAGGAGGTAGAGAAACATTGGAATACTACTCAGTACCAGTGTGCAAAGGTGTATTTGCTTTGGAAGAATACATCACCTCTAACGTTGGGTGTCCTACATGTGCATGTGTTGCTGCATTCTGTAAAACTATTAGTTTATTTTTTAACATTTTGTAATGGGTGCCTCAAGATTGTGTGGCATTTTAAAGGGTGCTTTGACTGAAGAAGGTTGAGAAACACTGCTGTAGGTCTTAGAAGGTCGTGGGTCAGTTTTAAGATTGGTTAGTTTTATCCTAAAATTCAATTTTTAAGTGCTTTTTTTATTGACTTGCCTATCTTACATCCTCTTCCTGGTTTCTCGGAAGGCACTGATGACATAGCCCTGAATGCACTGGTGCCCCAGGGAAGATGTCATCAGTGCCTTCAAGGAGACCTCTTACCTTATCTGTGAGATTTCCCAGTATTGTGGTACTGCATATGTGCAAGATGGAGCTCATGACATCATGCTGCTGATCTCGGGCATGCGACATACAGCTTTACATTCATTTGTTTTAAAACAAAAACGCCTTCCCTCAAGATCTTGGAGGAAGGCTTAATGTCTTCTTCTGTAAGATTCACTATGTCACTGGTCTCTCTATTTTTATGAGTAAAATCACACTGGCTATTAAAGTATTCTTACGTGTAAGTGAGATAGCAGCTGGCAGGAAAAGACAGAATCAGGAGAAATTAAACTAAATCGGAGAGGTGCACAGCAGGCAGTACATTGTACCTTTTGTCTCCTGGCCATCCAAAAATACCTGTTTTTTTACACTATGCTTGAGGCCTAAATTGTATGAATTTTCATTTTACCTATTGCATCTGCACACAATTGGATTATTGAACTGGTTTCTGCTTTTCACCTGACTGGACAATTATAGTTAGATTATAACTTTTCATAAATTCTATTACATCGTGATTCTGAAACTCGTACATTTGACTATGCCATTTTTTTTATAGGAACAAGGCATTCTAAGAACTGACCGTCAAAGTAAAAACTTGTAAAATATTGTTATTAAAACTTTGTATCTTGCATATTAATAGTTGTGTATTAAATTTTCTCTAAAACATCCAATGTTTCTCATTTGTACTAAACGCCCTTTAATAAAAATGCTCTTTTTTCTGATTTCAGATTGTAGAGAAAAGATGGCTGGACAAGATGGTGTCGCACCTGCTGAAAAGCAAATAAGAAAAAATGTAGGCCGTACTAAAATAAAGCGGAGACAAGAAAACAGTGGTAAGAGCATTAGCTATGAGTGTTTTGTAAGAAAGTAGTTATTTAGTAATATCTATACAAATCGTTTGAACTCACTAGCTCCTAATTTAAGGTTGGATATGTTTCTGCTGACCCCTCACTAGGTTGCTCCATACAGTGGAAATACTCTTTATAATTTTTTTTAATGTTTGTAATACTATACCAAGTGTGGGTCTAGGCCTATACTGATCACTGAACAATCGGGGATGTTTTTTTTTTTTTTTTTTTTTTTTATAGCCTTGCTGCGGGCAAGCAGCAGGGCTCAACTGTCAGGTGGAAGCATTCGGGCAGAAGGGTTGTCGCCCAATTGCTTCCACACAGCCCACTACTGTGCCAGCCTCCCCTCCCCCCCCCCCCCCCCCCCCCCCGTCCGCTATATGTCCTGGGCTCCGCTTGCCCATCTGCGGCCTGGGACCAGTCAGTGGCCGCCGGCAGGTATAAGGCAGGGAGGAGAGTGGACACATCCGCTCCCGCTCCCCTTCTTGTCTTGACCCGGAAGTGATGTGACATCACTTCTGGGTCCCCGTTGGCAGATTCCCCACCATCGAGGCCAGGAAAGAATGTATTGCAGTGCAATGTGCACTGTATTACATTCAGTGGAGCATAGGGGAGACATGCAGGGTCTTTGAGACCCTGGGTGTCTCAAAAAAGAGAACCTGTCACCAAAAATCATCACACGGGATGTGATACAAAAAAAAGTTACACCCAAGCATATAATCCCCCCCCCCCCCCCCCAAATTTTTCAAGGCCCCCCCAACCCCCACATATGTACACACGTACAAATGTAAAAGCACGCGCTGGGGTGCCTACGCATGAAAATGACAATTGTGATATATGCGCACGCCAGAATGAGAGCAATAATTCTAGCACCAGACCTCCTCCGTAATGCTAAACTGATGACCTGTAAGGGGCTTTAAAAGCTTTGCCTATAAAAAAATAAGGTTACTAAAGTTTGTTGCCATTTCACGAGCGCGTGCAAATTTAAGATTTGACATGTTGGATATCTTTTTACTCGATGCAACGTCATCTTTTATATTTTACAAAATAATTGGATAGTGTATTGCTTTTTGTGCCCTAAAATTAAAGCAAGTGTATTTTTACTGAAATCTTGCATTTCCTAGACCTTTGTGATAATACCGTGTGACATAAAAAATTGGAACTACCGCTATTTTATTCTCTAGGGTCTCTGATTTCAGAAAATATATAATGTTTTGTGTAATCTTCAGGCCTTAAATGATTTTCTAAACGTGTGCAAAAAATACAAAAACAGCTCTGGCAGTGAAAGAGATAAAGGATAAGCACGACACTCCCCTTTCCTGACAAGCACCCAATCGGTTCTCATTGTACTGCAAGGTCTCTCTCCTCCCTGGTAGTTGCCGAGTGCAGTGCTGAAGACAGGCAGGGAGGAAAAGTGCAATGTTAAAAATATTAAACCTTTAAGTCACCATAAAGCCCCAGACATTACTTAAAGCAGATTTAAATATGGTTTTGGTAAAATGTATTTTATTTTTTTTTATCAGGATCAGTAGATTGGGACACCGATTTAGTACCTGGACAAGTGCTTTTTTTTTTTTTTTTTTTTTTTAAATTTCCACACCACTGCACAACGTAATCTGCCTGGTAGACAGATATTATTTGATATATCTTGATTTTTTTTATCACATGAAAACTGGCCCAGAATAGTAAAAAGAAGCTGTATATTTTATGCTATTACCATGATCCACCGTCTGACATGCATAAGGATGCCATGTACTGTATGTGTGCAATGTGACGATCACGGCGTCAGACCCCCAGCCCTTCTCACCAACTCATGACCGAAGAACTAGCCAATCTAAAACCGTGCTGTCACGTGCGTAACAATACCACGCTCAGCTGCACCCTGCACAAATATTTTCCAGCTATTGGACCACAATCTATGTACCTGCAGCCTGAGAGCGATTGTTACTGGGTCAGGTTAATTACGCAATTAACCCTTCACACTGCCACCACCGCCTTTTGTAGAGAAAAGGAGGAAACTCGCCAATATTAGCAATAACACTATGATGTTTGAATAATCGTCTGTATACCACTGTCACCGCAGGCAGAGATATATAGAGGTTTAAAACGCACAGTAGCACTTTTCAGAGACAGGGATTCTTAGTTTGCATTAAAGAGCTTTAGAAACAGTTCAACACTTTTCAGATAATAGGATTGATTACTAAAAAGGTCAAAAGGATGCAATAAAAATATTTACAGAAAAAGATGTAGCCAAAAAAAATAAAAAAAATAAATAAAATATATATATATATATATATATATATATATATAATACAGAGAGCAATAACACAGCAAAGAGATAACAGAAAGAAGTTTACAGAAGTAGAGTACTTCCCAAAAGTCCTGGGTTGAGCAGATTCAAGGGTCCTGAGCAAAAGGGTGCCTTTTCTCCCAAAGTTGGTTCCAATGTTAAAAGGAAGAATTGTTCAACTTCAACTCCCTGCTCCAAGCATAACAGCCTTTATCTAGGAACTCAGCAGGGTGTCTCCTTACAGCAGAGAAGCACTCGCCTCATTTGAGGAGGGATGTTGTAGGCGGGGGACTCAGGATAGAACCAAAATCCCTCACAAGTAATTCCAGGGTAATAACCTTCCCTAGGTACATGTAACATTCTATCCACGGGTAGATTAATATGCAGAATCATCTGCTGAACGTCTAGATATCAAACATGTCATATTTGACTATTTCAGCTAGAACTATATGGCTTTCTGCTCTCCTGTAGACTTCCACTAAGGGTGTAAGATATCAGACGACTCGCATTAAACTGAGCTATCCGAATATATGATTTATGTTTTTGTAATTATTTCCTACCTTACGATATAAATTTATATGGAGAAGTGGGTTTTAAATGTGAGGTCTGTTTTAAGGCTAGCTGGAATGTCTTTGAAACCCAGTGAAGGACTGGTTTATGGTATTATGATATCTCAGATTGAGAAGCTAACAGACACCCAGGCACCAGCTAATTTGGGTTTATAACCATGAAGCTCTCCAGCTGGGGCCACAGAAACAAAAAAGGGATGAAGCGCTCAGCCTTGAGGGTACTAAATAAATCAACCTAATAAAAATACATGATAACAGAATATAACCAATAAAAATAAAGTGACTATTGCATCAATTCAATATAAATGTGTAAACAAACAGAAAAAAACAACCAGTCTGCCACCAAGAGGCTAGAATAGGTACAGAAAAGTGCACACACTCAGTGTGTATAAAGTGACCAGTGCTCACAAATCATATATATATATATATATGTGTGTGTGTGTACAACTTAAATAAAAATGTGCTCACAGTGAACAATCACTACATAAAAATCCAAGTGTAAAAATCAATCATTATAAACATGCTATATAATAAAGTGCAAAATGCATGCTAACACTCTCTTGTGAAATAAATAAATATAATAAATGTAAAAAAATGTGAAAAAATGTGTGTTTCTTCTTTCTCCACTTCAAATCTGTGCTCTAATCAAAAACGTGTCGCTCTAGTGCTTAAATCCTCCAGTGGCTAGAGTGCCTCCTCACCTCCTTCACTCGACCCCTAGGGGCCACAAATCATATAGTGATGTTCCACACCGATTGGACTCTCTATCATCAATATAGATCTTTTATCCCAATGGCTCCACAGTAGCTCCTCTATTAATACGATATCCACTCCACCATTTAATGGAAAGACTCAGCAATAAGATGTCAGGGCCATGAATAGATAAAAAAGAGAACCTCCTCTGCAGCCAGATCCAGGAATGTCGACTCTCTGCTTCCTCCTTACTCACCTCTCACCCACCTCTTATTGCTGAGTCTTTCCATTAAATGGTGGAGTGGATATCGTATTACACTGTGGAGCCATTGGGATAAAAGATCTATAGATGATAGAGCGTCCAATCGGTGTGGAACATCACTATATGATTTGTGGCCCCTAGGGGTCGAGTGAAGGAGGTGAGGAGGCACTCTAGCCACTGGAGGATTCAAGCACTAGAGTGACACGTTTTTGATTAGAGCACAGATTTGAAGTGGAGAAAGAAGAAACACATTTTTTCACATTTTTTTTACATTTATTATATTTATTTATTTCACAAGAGTGTTAGCATGCATTTTGCACTTTATTATATAGCATGTTTATAATGATTGATTTTTACACTTGGATTTTTATGTAGTGGTTGTTCACTGTGAGCACATTTTTATTTAAGTTGTACATATATATATATGTGTGTGTGTGTGTGTGTGTGTGTGTGTGTGTGTGTGTGTGTGTGTGTGTGTGTGTGTGTGTGTGTGTGTGTGTGTGTGTGTGTGTGTGTGTGTGATTTGTGAGCACTGGTCACTTTATACACACTGACTGTGTGCACTATTCTGTACCTATTCTAGCCTCTTGGTGGCAGACTGGTTGTTTTTTCTGTTTGTTTACACATTTATATTGAATTGATGCAATAGTCACTTTATTTTTATTTGTTATATTCTGTTATCATGTATTTTTATTAGGTTGATTTATTTAGTACCCTCAAGGCTGAGCGCTTCATCCCTTTTTTTCTTTCTGTGTCTTTGTGGATTCTAAGGTATAGGATTTAGATGATAACAGCTTGCTCTGTTTCTAGTAACTCTGTGGAGCGCAGGAGGATATTTATATAATTGTCATGCTGGAACACCCATCCACGACCCATTTTCATTGCCCTGGCTTAGGGAAGAAGGTTCTCACCCAAGATTTAATGGTACATTGCCCCGTCCATCGTCTCTTTGATGCGGTGCAGTTGTCCTTTCCCCTTAGCAGTAAACACCACCAAAGCAGAATGTTTCCACCACCATGTTTGACAGTTGGGATAGTGTTCTTGGAGTCATAGGCAACATTCCTCCTCCTCCAAACTGAGTTGAGTTGAGTTGATGCCAAAGAGCTCGATTTTGGTCTCATCTGACCACAACACTTTCAACTAGTCCTCCTCTGCATCATTCAGATGTTCA